ATTTTCAACATAGCGTTTTTATACTTTTATTGTATTATTTCTATTCTGACTATTGTTATTTTCTCTTATTGTTTGTTGTTATTCACTTAACAATAAGACACAATTCCTCCTTGAAGATAATCGATGCATCTGATTGGCTCTCCGTGTGTTCGTGCAGAAGAAGCTGGCGGCGGAGCCGGACTACACCGACGTGTCGTTGTCGGCGGCGGAACGCGTGCGAGCGCTCGGGAAGATGGGGAGCAGCGTGGAGCTCAACGAGGACGTTGCTCCCAGAAGATACCTCCGCTCTGGAGTGGAGATGGAGCGCATGGCGGAGGTTTACCTTCAGGAGGGGAGTCTGGAGAACGCCTATGTCCTCTACACCAAGTTCATCACGTGAGACCTGCAGCGCGCCACGAACACTGCTTCAGTCATCATTTACTTATCTTAGATTCATTTACTTATCTTAGATTTACTTATTTATTTATTTTATTTGTATTCATTTATTTACTCTTGTTTCATTTAGTTATTGTTTCATGTATTTATTGAGGACATGTGTTCAGTCTGTTCGTAGAGAAGCTGCCCGCTCACAGAGACTATCACAACTGCAGCCTTCCAGAGAAGCAGCTCATCATGAAGGTCAATATTAATATCGATTATTAGTAATAAGGAGATGTGTTAGTGTTCGCTAGATACACAAAGTACAAGTTGAAGTATTACAACTAGTCCCAGACCTCTACAACTAGTCCCCAGACCTCTAACTCTAGTCCCCAGACCTCTACAACTAGTCCCTAGACCTCTAAATCTAGTCCCCAGACCTCTAAATCTAGTCCCCAGACCTCTACATCTAGTCCCCAGACCTCTAAATCTAGTCCCCAGACCTCTACAACTAGTCCCCAGACCTCTAACTCTAGTCCCCAGACCTCTACAACTAGTCCCCAGACCTCTAACTCTAGTCCCCAGACCTCTAACTCTAGTCCCCAGACCTCTACATCTAGTCCCCAGACCTCTTTGGTTTCAGTGTGTGTGGTTATGTGCAGGTACAGCTACTTCCTGTCTAGTAGCATTACCAATGCTAACATTAGCATCATTAGTAGTATTTATGTTCCGTCTTTGTCTCTATAGAAACTTCAGGAAGTTGCGTTTCCTCGTAAAGACGAGTTGAAGAAACGTCTTCAGGAGAAATACAGCAGGGAACACACCGAGTACCTCAGAGCCCAGGTGTGTGTGTCTCGACCAATCAGATCGCATCGTGTGTTTGATCAGATTAAATCAGATTAAATGATGAATAAAAGGGACTTCCTGTCTCAGAGCCAGGCGGCGGCAGTGGCGGTGGATGTGTGTGGTCATCAGCTGCAGCGTCTCTCCCTATTGGGCGAGGACAGGAGGCGTGGCCTCTTATTGGAGGAGCGGCAGCGTGTCGCTGCCCTGCGACGCATGCAGATCGAATCGGAGCAGTTTCGCTACTTCGAGGACCAGTTGAGGCGGCAGGAGCTGGCCAATCGGAGAGGAGAGGAGGAGGAGCCTAAGGTGACAGATCAGGCAACACTGTAATACTGACACCGTGTATCAGTAGTAATATTACTGTGTATCAGTAGTACTAACACCGTGTATCAGTAGTACAAGTAGTATTTCTGCAGTGACGTGTTCGTCCTCTAGGTGGAGACCAAAGTGCCTGAGGTGACGGATGGCTCCTGTCTGTCTCGGCAGCCAATCAGAGCCT